GAGGACACAGCTGGGGTAGGAGGTTTCTGCTGAACTAGAAACAGCTGCTGCTCCTGAAGAGCTCATCATCCCCTAGAAATGACAGGCATAGGAAGCAGACCTCTGAGAATGCTATGTAATTCCCTGTATGCCAGATCCTGGAAGCACTGACGCTAGGCAGGCTTAGAAGAGATGTGATCTCACAGCAGGCAGCTCTAGGATGAGTTAGTAGATTGGTACTTGGGATTAGGGCATTTTCTGTTGAAGGGATACCACTTGCCTGTGGGCACCTCAAGGATAGGTACCTGGTCAAGTTGTTCTGTGTCCCCAGAGTCTAGCACAGTCCTCAGTGCCGAGCAAGCACCTGCAGAAAGAGTTGCAGGAAGGGATGTGTGGATGAGTTCAGAGCAGAGTGTGTGGATGGGTGCTTGATTTCTATCTCCATCTCTCCAGCTGGAAGATTTGGAAGTTACTGTAGCTGATCACATTCAAAAGGTCATGAAACTGAACTTCGAAGCAGCCTGGGATGAGGTAGGGGATGAATTTGAGAAGGAGGAAACATTCACCTTGTCTACCATCAAGACACTTGAAGGTAAAATCCTGGGAATGCCACCTCTGGCCTACTTGCTGTTCAAGATCTTTGGGTACTGTTGAAGTGCTTATACCTTTTCTCTCCAAGGATCCAGGGCCATGTCTGGGGCACATATGTCAAATGCCATTTCATTAAAAACCCTTCAGAACATGGGGGAGTGGTGGTGGCACAAAGGGCAGACAAGATGGCTTAACAATATTGGGATTTCTCACTATAGAGGCTGTGGGTAATATTGTGAAGTTCTTGGGAATGCATCCTTGTGAGAGGTCAGACAAAGTGCCGGATAACAAGAACACCCACACGTTGCTTCTAGCTGGTAAGTGGCATTTCCAGGTGGGGAGGGCCTGGATAGCTTACAGCCTGGATGTCCACTGGATCCTGGGCTAAGGACTTAACTGTAAATACGGGGAGTCAAAATTCACTGCATTTAAAATTCGCAAACTATAAAATAATCTGCAGCAAAATGTTTCCTCCTTACCTTGGCTGCCAGCCATTGAGATTCGCTTCCAAGAAACGACCAGTGTTACTATTACAAACAATGCCTGTATAACCTTGCAGTTATTTTATTGCTATAAAAGCTAATAGGAACACATTTCCTTTTTTTAACTCAAATGTTTATGTACAAATGGTATATTGTCCTGCAATTTGCTTTTCACTTTACGATGCATCTAAGAGATCTTTCCTGCCAATATGTAGAGCTTCCTCATTCTTTTTCTTTTAATTGTGGTAAAATATACATAAAATTCACCATTTCAGCCATTTTCAAGTGTGTGGTTCAGCGGCATTAAGTACATACACTATTGTAAAACTATGACCACTATCCATCTCCAGAACTTTTTTCATCCCAAACTGAATCCTTTTTTTTTTTTTTTAATAGCTGCTTAGTATTCCATTGTGTGGATGCACCACATATTCTATGGAACAGCCGCTACTGATGAACATTTAGTTTGATTTCGATCTGTTGCTATTACAGATGTTACAGTAAATAATCGTGTACACACACACACAATTTACTTTGCATGTGTACACTGAGAATATCTGTAGGATAAATTTTCCAAGGCATCACCAGGTCAAAGTGATTTGTGTTTCTCATCTTGATAAATAACTCCAAGTTGCCTTTCATAGAATTGTATACCTTTTTTCCTACACTGTGGACAACACAATATGTTACCACACTTTATGATCTTTGCCAGTCTGTGTGGACAATGATATCTTAGTGTAGTTTTTGTATTTTCATTGAAGTTAAGTATCTTCTCAAATGTTGAGGCATTTGTATTTCCTTTTCTGATCACTGTCTTCATATCCTTTGTCTTATTTTCTACAGGGTTGGCTGAGTGTACCTGCACTCATTCTCCTTCCCAGATTACTTACTAGCAAACTCCAGAAATAGCACTTTATATGTAAATTCTTCTGTATCTCTATGTTTCTCTAAGAGATAATGACCCCTGCCCTTTTTTAAAGGACAATACAATTATCATACCTAAAACAGTTAACAAAAGGAAATGGGATGATTTTTTTTGGCTAAGTGTTTATAAACAGGGTTGAAAGGAGGCTCTGCTTCAGTACCCTGTCTACAGCTGACAGTTTGTAGCCACATTGAAACAACCCAGTCCCCTGGGTCTTGCAGACACCTGCCCTGTGGTTTTCTCGTGGTGGGGCTGTCCCCTTCATTTGTGCTGTCAGATTCAGCCAACATGCAAGAGCCTATGTGACGTCAAATATGAGCCTTTTATGTCCATCAATTCATTTGAACTTAACAGAAGCCTGAATATGGTATTATCATCCCCACCGTTTTGTAGTTGAGGATACCGAAGCCCAGAGAGACAGTGAGACTTTTTTTTTTTTTTTGAGACGGAGTCTAGCTGTGTCACCCAGGTTGGAGTGCAGTGGCACAATCTCTGCTCACTGCAACCTCCGCCTCCCGGGTTCAAGTGATTCTCCTGCCTCAGCCTCCCGAGTAGCTGGGATTTCAGGCGCCCACCACCATGCCCAGCTAATTTTTGTATTTTTAGTAGAGATGGGGTTTCACTGTGTTGGCCAGGCTGGTCTCAAACTCCTGACCTCATGATCCACCCACCTCGGCCCCCCAAAGTGCTGGAATTACAAGTGTGAGCCACCATGCCCAGCCGAGAGTCAGTGACTTTCACAGTGAAATCCCTCACTCGGGGATTTCAGCCCAGCTCTCCTGCCCATTTCACTACACCACAGCTGTCTTGATGGGCTGCTGCAAATGCCATCCTTAGCCTGCCCTGTACAATCCCTTCTGCCGTATATACCTGTACTTATGTCTTCCCTTCTAGGTGTGTTCCGGGGTGGTCATGACATCCTGGTGCGCTCCCGGCTGCTGCTTTTGGACACAGTGACAATGCAGGTGACAGCCAGAAGTTTGGAGGAGCTGCCAGTAGACATCATCTTGGCATCTGTGGGATAAGGGGCCAGCCTGCATAGGACCTTATGCCCTTCCCCCCCCAACACTACCTGGAAGTTGTGCCTTCCTCATGAAACTGGCGGAAACCCCTTCCCAAGCTTCTGTATTCAAAAACAATTAGGAATCATTGCAGATTTTTTTTTTATTCTGCCCCTACTCCCCACCCGGGACTACTTGGGGGTACTTTTTTTTTTTTTTTTTTTTAATAGGGAATGATTTTAGCTTGTCCTAAATCTTGCTATCCTCCCTTCCAGGAAAGGGACATTGTAAATGAATAAAACATTCTCGACTCCTCTTGAATTTATCCCCCAAGAAACCATCTTATCCCTCTAATAAATCAGCATGTATTTATTGAATGATTGCTACACCTTCCCCTTCAAGGCCTCCCCCAAGAGGCAGAACACGTGCCCTGTCCCCCTTGTACCCACAGCCCTCTGGCTGTTTTAATCCTGTGAGGCAGGACCCTCTCCCCGTCATCGCTGTCCCAGCACCAGGCCCAGGGGTGGGAGCGGTACAGGTTGGTTGAGTGAATCAGCTAACAGGCACTGAGTTCCCACTCCCTCCCACTCGTGCTTCTTCGCAACGCATCCTCCTCTGATAGTCGATAAACGGAGGCTCCAAAGGGCTTGGGTCCTGTGGCCGTTCCAGCATCAGGTCCTATGTGGAGTGTGCCCTGGGGTTTCTGCTACCTGTTCAGCGAATCAGCATAGGCGAAGAACAGCCCTCTAGAGTATTCTCTGTTGGTTGCAGATAAAGAAATCTCCGGTTTAGGTCCCAAGGGGAGCAGGCTTTTAAACTCAAGCCAGGTTATTTTACCAACTTTGAGGCCAAAGTACACCCGTAAGGACTGTTTTAAAAATTTGGGCCTCACCCTTAGAGATTCAGCTGGCGGGCTGGGGTGCGGGGACAGAAAAGGCTCATTCTAGTGTACACCATCGTTTGAGGGCTAAGTGCGCGATTCCTGAAAGTTCTCCAGACTTCCATTTATTCAGTGTTCCTCCATTTTTGCCTCGCACTGTGAGACGGCTGGCAGGACTTTCGTGAAGTAAGGAGTGGAGTTTCCTGGTTTCCCGCCTTCGATGACCCTGTGCCCTAGACTCAGGGCGGCGGGAACCTTCCCCGTCGGCGGCCCTGAGGCGCGCTGGGGGCGGGGAGGGAGGTTAACCCCGCCAGGGAACGGCCAATATGGAAGAAAGTGGAGTCCCGAGAAGCTTGGGATGGATGCGTTCCCCAAGGCAGTCACTGTCTCCTGGGGAAAAGGGAAAAGATTCATCCCAAACCGGAAGGGATAAGACGCCGCCTCCGGTGCCCGAGGGTGCGGAGAGAACCAAGGGCCCCCCCAGGGGGCGGGGCCTAGCGCC